TCATCTGGCCCCTCTTTATCCCCATGCCAAATGACTTATTGAATTTTGCTGATTCTATCTCTTTTGTATCTTTTATATCCATCTCGTTTCCATTTCCACCACTACTGAATTAGTGCAGGACCTCATTATCCTGGCTTATACTAGTTCAATAATCTCTCTGCCAGCAGACTTGACCCTCTCTAATCCATATGACACTGCAGCTGTAGTAATCCTTTAAAATGCAAATTTAATCATCTTATTTCTTTGTTTAAATCCTTCAAATGGCTTTTCATTTCCTATAGGTTAAAATCCAAATGCTTTTTTGTGGCATACAAGTCACTTTCATGATCTCACACCCAAACTCAGCTCTTGCCTCTGTACTCCACAGGAACCTCCAATCTTGATAACCCACATTGAATTTCGAGTTTTTGAACAGCCCAAATATAATTCCCCACATTATGCTTTCTCTACTTATAAGGTCTTTTACCTCATCATCCACATCTCAAATTTTCACCCATCTTTTGTATTTAGCCTAAGTGAAATACTATCTGTAGTAGTCTGTTTTCCAGAGAAACAGAACCAATAGGAGACAGAGTGAGAGAAGAGATTTAATGAGAATTGGCTCATTTGATTATAGAGGCTATGAATTCAAAATCTGCAGAGTAGCCTGGTGGTATGGGAGGGTGAAGGAGAGCCAATATGCCAGTCTGAAAGCCATTAACTAGGCAGAGTCAATGTTACAGATGACGAAATCCAAAGACAACCAGCTGAGGAATTCTCTCTTAATCCTGAGAATATCAGTCTTTTTGTTCTATTAAGGCCTTCAACTGACTGGAAGGGTCTCGTCCACAATATGTAGAGCAATTTGCTTTACTCATGTCCACTGATTTAAAGGTTAATATCATCTAAAAACACTCTCACAGAAACACCCAGAATAATGTTTGACCAACTATATCGGAACCCCATGGTGCATCCCAATTGACACATAACAATTATCATATTCTCTATGAAATAATTCTTCACTCCTTCAGAAAGAGTTAGTTTACTATTATGCCACAAACACATCTACTATCTATGCCTTTATTTCATTTATAATATTTTTTACACTTATTTATGTCAATCTCTCTTACCAGATATGAGATCAATGAGGAAAGAAATCACAGGTGACAAATATATGGCAAATTCAATGCTTGTTGATAAGTGAATCAATGAACAAAGCAAAATAAATATTTGAAAAATAGACACGAAAAGCAGTATATAAATATTTTAATATAACTAGGTTACTGTGTCCAATAGTAATGGTTACAAAAATAATAAAACTAAACATTGTAGAGCTCTCTTCCATTTTAAAAATATGTTATCTCATTTGATTCTCACATTAGTCATGCATACAAGTGGCTGGGGTTCCCCCCCGCCGCCACCTAATAAAAGTAGCAATTGAGGTTTAGAGAAGATATGGATTTGACCAATGTTGCAGAGTTAGCAATTGTCACTGCCAGGACTTCTGGACTCTATCTATTTAGCACTTTTCCCTGCAACAGCCAGATTTTAATAAAAGCCTGTTCTAGTTTCCTATTATGTGATTTTTTAAAGCTAAGTATCTTTTACTTAGTTATTAATTTTTAGACTCTCACTGTACATGATGAACTGATGTGCTGTTTCTTGGAGCAATATGTTGGAACATGCTACTGCTTGACTCATTTCCAATTTTCAATATCTGTAAAAAATGGAAGTAGTTCAAATAGCTGCAAATTAAAGCACAGTTTAAAACCACTGTATCATATCAAACCTATCTGTGCTTTGGTTTATAAGTGCAAGCTACTTGTGCATGGATAATCCATCACAGCTTAAAATTAGAAAAAGACTTGCAGCAGGTCACTGATTTTTCTGACAACATGACCTTCTAAATACTTCTTAAACTAAATAAATGTATTTTCCTCTGAATGTTTTCAAATCAAGATACTTTCAGTGGAGGCTCATTTCTGTATTCTGGAAAGCCCATTTGATTCTATGATTTAATTAAACTGGTATTTGCATTTATAAAACAGAAGTAACCGAGGGCAAGGGCATCTACTTATATATGTGTCCTAGTTCTATAATGGAGATGTGCACATCTGTCAAGGTTGTTGAAACTAAATCCGTGTGTCCTCTAATGTTGGATGGTATTCTGAACACTGCTTTAGTTTGCCTACAGAGCAGTGTCAGATTTCACAGATCCTCAAGGGATAAAAGGAATCTGTACTGAGATGTGGTAGTATTGAATTTGGCTAGTATTTCTCATCTCCCGTTTTAAAATCTGATTTTATTATGTTTATTTTCGGTAAACACTTATAAAGTCTAGGGATAACTATAAATGTAACTGTTCACACATACCCACCTAATATCAAATATCCAGCAAATATCAAATACTCAGCTATTTAAAAACATGTACATTACTAACAGAAGACTTGTTCTTCACAAAGATTTTTAGAATTATGTAAATACAGCATTTTTCTGAACTCAGTGTTCATGTTATTCCATTAAATCAATTTTCTTCTCTCTGCTTATGTGACTGGCATTCCAGATAATATTCCCCTGAGCATGCATTATTTGATACAAACGCCCCAAGATTTGTATCTCCCCTGTTCCCCATACTCACAATTTTAAGTTTTTGTGAAATTCCATTGAAGAAATAGTGGGTGATATTTTTATAAGGAATTGTGGGCTCCTTATAAGATGAGGGTAGTGATCATATTTCTTTTAGCCAGAATCACCATATTGTTAACTACGAATTGCATAGAAAGAAAGAATTCCTCTTTAGAGTATAAGATATGTGGCCTGGTCTGCCTGTGGTGGGGAAAGATTTAAAATTGTATGACTGTAGGGAGGAAGCTTTAGGCTTTTTATCGGGAGCTGTTCCAGGAAGTTGTGTGCAGCTGAGACAGGGAATATATTAGTGGGCTTCTCCTCACAGGGAGATGGTGTAAATATGAGAGTTTGGAAAGCAGAATGGGGGCTGGAGTGGGGAGACTGCCACAGCTGTGGGGAATTGCATACTTCTTTTTGCCTAATGAGAGGGATCTAGAAGAAGCATCTGGCAGCAGGGAGGGTCTATATTTTATTTTAGACAAGAATAGAAGATGAAAGGATATAGTAGATGGAATACAAGCACTATAGAAAAGCATTTAACACAGTGTCTGGTGAAATTGCACTTTAAAATACTTCTAGTACATGTAACTATCCAAACAGATGTGACACACGTGAGAAACTACACATAAAGGAAATAGCATCATAGCCAGATATGGTTGGCATCAAGGTACTTGGGAGGACTCTGAGCATTCTCTGTAAAGTTCCGTAGGGCCTGTATCACCCACTCCAGTGACTAGAAACGGGGACTGTAGGAGGTTTGTACATAATTCATGGATGATGTTGAGTGGGAAAGCAATATGTGCACATATAAATCCCACAACAGGACCTGAGGACCTAAGGGATATATACTTCAGAGTCCAGAGGTCATGAGAAGTAGGAATTGTAATTCTTCCTGTGTTCTTAGCAGTACCTGGTTCACTGTTGGAATCCAGCAATCACTTAGTCCAAAGCGTCAAAGTTCATACTGAATAAAAGGCTTATTTCTGTTACTCTATCTTGACAAAACAGCAAGAGCTAATAACAGCAACTGGAAACTTCTATTTCTTTAATATAAAGGGAAACTACAGTTAATATAAAAATAAAAATCATAGAAATATGTTATATATAAAATGAAATAGAAATTTATCATCACATTACAGAATAAAACTTTTCTGTTATATTGAAACTATTAGTATTTAAACTATTAGTGTGAAAATTATATTTTTATATTTAGTAACTACTTTTAATAAAGAAAAATAAAAACTGAAATGAAAGGAACAGAAATTATATTTTAAAGTCCTTTTACAGTGGTGATAATTTGAATTACAAATATAATTGTAACCTTAAATTATTCCAGGATATTTTTCTTATGAAGAGTAAGTGGTATAAGCTAATGCATGAGATAGGGTTTGATAAGATATTGTGATAGCTTCACAAAGCTAGGACAAAGGCCATATGGTAAAATCAATGTATATCTCAGTTTCTAAATCTTGTTATGTTTAAAAGCGGCTTTAAAAATCATTTGTCTTATAAAAAGACACATGTTCTCTTTAATGGAAAGCAGTATGCATCTCAGTACAATTTGTGACTTTAATCTGATTCCTAATAAGAAAAAAAAAAGCTATGTAAACATAAGGCCAATTATTGATGAGAGAAAGGACTAAATCTAACACAAATTCTCTTCTTTTTTGACCCTGGAAAAGAAAAGATGCAGAAGTGATCAAACTGCATGGAAAATGTTAGAAAGGCAGAACAAGGCTTTATCTCTAATTTACAGAAAGCTGTCATGGATGAGACTCGCACTCAACCGAAAGAGCAAAGCAATTGATGGATATTGGCCTAAAGCCCTGGAGCAGTGCATGCACTTTGAAAATATTTCAACTTTAATTTACAATATTCACGACGGTTGAAAGAGCCATCTACTCAAAACAGAGTGTAAACTACTAGTAGGAGAATTGGTCTTTAATGACAATTAAAGATTGGAGTCAAAATTTATAAAAAAAATTGTAAAGTTGTATATAGATATTGGATAAAGTATATTAAAAAGACAAATCTTTTTCAAGACCAAGAACTACATTTTCACAGTTATGTTTAACTTTTAAAGCAAACTGTTATAATGCCTCCTACCCCCAATAAATGATTCATTGTCCAATAAGTGTGTCTTTAGGAAACTTTGGTGTCTCAAACATTTCAGTATGCTCAGTGAAACACTGCTCTCAACATACCCAAAGTTAGTGATTTTAGTACTAAACTTACAATGTGAAACCTAAAAATCGGAACAAATGGAACCTGTCTACATAACATGTATTTAAATTTTAGCCATAGAATAGAATTTTGTAATAAACTACAGCAAATGAGCCTAAAATATATTTATTCTATCACCTTTTAAAAATGTGTTTACTATATCTAGCTCTTCTGTTTTTGTAGTTAACATTTCTTCATTCCATTATTTGTTGTTTATTCTGTCCTTTTGTTGTTTTATTGTTTCAATATCAGGATAGAGAGTAAGAAAAGTGAATAGGTTGACATGTGAAGTCCTGTGATTGCCTGATCCTAGCTTATTTGCTGCATATCACATGTTCTCTCTGGTGAGTGCCACGACTCCCACTCACTAGATTTTGCATCTGCCTGGATTATTTCCTCCCACTCTTTTAGACTTTGTTCCTAGGAAACCTCCGTGGGTCAGGAAAATTGCATATCCAAAAGTGCTCTGCATTGCCTTCTCCCAACAATGAGGTCACATCATTATATTCATTTTGTTTGCTTTTGGTTTCCAACTTAATATTTAGTAATTTATATGACCGTTCAGGATTTTGATAGTGTTTGGCAGGAGGAGGAGGAGAGTTGTTGATATAGAAAGAGATAGTGACTTTCCTGTGGCTGTTGCCTAGTCTGATTAGCTTCCTCAAGCCAGCCAGGAGGCAGGTTATTCCATGCATGGACATGGGTACAATGAGATTCTCTGTAATACTCCTCTGCCATACCAATGCCCATTCTGTGTGGGTGTCCTGAAATATCTATCTCTCCTAGTCTGCAACGTTCCATATCCCCTTTGCAAATGCTAAAGTAATTACCTTTTGAAGTAAATTTAATATTTAAGTATTATATTATTGTTGATTGATCCAGGTATTTATTGATGAGACATTAGCTGGAAAGACAGAGTATCTGGAAAGAGCAAAGCAAAATGAAAAATATTGTGTGGGAAGATTCTGCAAATTATGTGGTATAATCTACATTTCACTTGTCTTTTGGGACACAACAATGCATTATGAGAAAGTGAATATATTTAATATTACAGTTCATCAAATAGTAAATGATCATATTGCTGACACCATAAAATTTAAGCCTAGAATGTTAATTTAGGAAATAAAATCAATTTTATGTTACTAGTTTATTCTTAAACAAATCTATATATTGAATAAGAACTTAATGTGATTATTTTCTATTCATACAAAACATTTGAATTGCAATTGTCAATTGCTTTGGCAATAATCCTTATGATTCTCACAATGTCAAATTGTTTTGGAAACATGCTCATTGTAAGATAAAAAAAATTAGTAGACACAAAAGGACAAAACTGTCTGGAATTTTAAAGATTCATTGATTCATTCATTAATTCAATAACTGTTTACTGGTATTTACTACACATTCAATGTGCAAATTGCTAGAAATTCAAACACAAATTTATTTACCAGATCCTATCCCTGAGAATGCCCTTCGAAATGCTGCACTTCTCCAAAATACTCTTTCTTCAGATGCTTGAGCAAGATCTGGAAGAAACAGACATGTAAACAGAGAGTGAGATTGTGCAATGTGTATGATATTTAGTAGGAGTCTGCAAAGAACATTTATGGCACAAAGAGAAGAAATACATCAACTGTTTAAATAAACATATAAACTAAGGTAATTTTGTCATACTTTTAAATTTTCTGTATCTCCTACCATGGTTCTTCTTGATTCATTTTCTATGGAAATATTTAATTACTTACTGTTACTATGCAATAGTGAAGAAGGCCCTGTGCTCATGCAGTTTTCAGTTTAGCAGTGAAAATAAACTTTGACCAGGAGTTTCAAGGGTACTGCATGTTATAGAGGGGAAAAGGTGAGTCATTGGAACATAATAGATAGTCTTCATTTTGCTAGACTTCTAGAAATAAGAGGGGAACGAACAGTGACTTCACATAGTAACATGCCAGTTTCTTGAGCGCCATAACCCATATTTATAAGGCTACCTGTAATTTGCTGGAGAGAAAATGATCAACACGATTCACATTTTAATTATCTTTTAGGACAAGAGATTATATTATCAAGAACTAAATGTATTTACTGTTTAATTTTATTGATTACAATGTGTAATAACACATTTCTCTTGCTGATTATCTCTATTACCATAAATGCTATGACAACAAAAAACAAATGAACCAAAAAGTTAATGGACATGAGGGCATTCAGTTCTTTCCACATGTTCTCCAAAGCAATGAAGTGGTAAATAATTTGACATTACAACACGAGAAATCCACACATACTACTTAAATTTTCTGTAGCTATACTTGGGAATAAGTAGATCTACACATTTATTCAGGTCCCCATGATGCTATCACAATAATGTATTTTTGCAGCAAAGTACCGAATTGCTCAAATTTTATGTATTCATTAAACCAGCACTCTACATATAAACTTGGATACATGTATCTTCTGTTTGTTAAGTTATATTGCACATCACATGTTCTCTCTGTATCAGATTTTTTGTAGTTGTTGTTGCAGATAAATCTGCTTCCTTCGAGATCACCTGCTACTGTATGTTTGTTTATTCTTCCTTTAAGTTTCCCACATGAACCCTAGCTCAATGTCTGTTCTGTCATCAGTACTTAATATATTTTTGGTGGGTTAAGTGGAATGTAATGGGTTTAAGTAAAATGTCTATCAAATCAATCATACACTTCAAACACTTTTGAAGTAATAAATTTCAGAAAAGATGCCTGAATACTGAACAGAAGGTCCACAATTGTATAAACTTTCTAACCACGATTCTGATTATTTTTCTCTAGTACATGAAAAATCAAACTATCTAAATTATTAATTTTGGCTGCTTTTTCCAACCAACCTCTTAATTAGAACTAGTAGCTAATTGTTTGATTTGAGAATTTCTTTCCTCTAACTAATTTATGTTATACAGGGAACAACATCAGTGGAATGATTAAATACTGAAGAAACAAAAGACCTAGAGAGCACATAGATGAATTTTCAAGATTATCTTTCTAATTGCGGCCCAATTATAACAGACTGGGATGTTGCTATGTCAAAAAGAGACTTGTAACCCAGATATCTCAACACTAAATAGATATAAAGAACACACACTGTCCACAAAAAAAAAAATTTTGAATACAGGTTTCCAGCTTGCAGAAAATATCTTGGTCACCAACATTAGTCTATGGGCAATAGCTTTCCTAGAAGGAATAAGAATTCAATAACTCCAGACTAGAAGGGATACTAAATGTGATGAAGAGGTCATTGGGCAGAGATCAAAGGAGGTCTGCAGCTGTTCCATTCTGGTTGTCCTGGTGTGCTCTTTGATGTCTACATAACTGTTTGGGCTAAAATCGGAGCCCTGCAGAGAAAGAACCACTCCCATTTCTCCCACCTACTTTTGCCAGTCCCACCTGGGAGTGGAGAATTGGGTAAATACCCAGGCAAATTGGCTATTTAAACATTTAGAATTATAAGAACTTTCTTACTTTAGATGAGATGTATGGTAGATGATTAAAAGGAAAGTGTACGAGTTAATTTTTTATGAATCAGTCTTATGGAGAAATATTCTGCATACATATAGTCTACCCATTTAAAATGTACAGTTTAATGATATTTAGTATATGCACAGACATGTGCAACTATCATCACAAGCAATTTTAAACAATTTTTATCACCACCAAGAGAAACCCTGTTCCCTCTAGCCATTGCCCTTCAGCTTCTTTCCCCATCTTTTCCCCAGGCCTATTCAACCCCAATCTACTTTCTGTCTCCATAGATTTATCTATTCTGGACATTTTATACAAGTGGAATCACATAACATGTGGTATTTTGTAAGTGGCTTATTAGCAGAATGTTGAGTTTTTGTTTCTTTTTTCTAAGTTAATTTTTTTAAGTCCCTCCATACTGGTATATTTTTTATGAGTGGGAACCTCAGGCTTTCAGATATGAATCTGGTCATTCCTTCAAATTGCATGTGTAGCACCTTATAGCATCAAAATTTTCTGATCTCTGTATACCTTTATAAGTGTTTTTAGAAAGTGTGAGATTATTATTGAAAGAAATAAATATGTTAGCCACTAGCAACGCTACCTTTTATGATGTCATCTTTGTCTAACATTTTTATTAGCTTACTAACATCTTTATTTTAAGCCTATCAATTATTTCATTTAGACACATTTCTTTCAGTTATGTTCCCTGAAATATAAAAGGCTTAATTGTAACAGGAAAAAGTACCTACATGTGTGCAGAGATTTAGGCATAAATAAAAATCTCTGTCCTCACACACCAGTTGGGTGCACATTTCCTACATCTTTCACTATAGCAACAGTGCTGGCTGCTTCACTCAGGCCAAAGTGACACGAGTCTGGTGTCCACTGGCACATTTTCATAGCCAAAATGAAATTGAAAGTCATTATTGAATAACCTAAGAATTTCCTCTCCCACAATTCCTTTAACTACTTAGCTAATAGGTTTTCTGTCTGAAGCATCCCAATTAGTTACAACACTTCACACTTCAGCCTGGCTGAGGAGACTTGCCAGTACAATGATGTTAGTCTGTCCTCTGTGCATTCAAATATCTCCACATCGAGGAATGTGCTTTCTGAAGAATGACTATCCCAGGTACATTAGAACATACAAAAGACAATCCAAACAACTGCACTGCAAGTGGGTCTGTTTTATTTCAATTTAAAAGCCAGAGAGTCTCAGCAACAAGAAGCTAACCTGTTTCCTTAACTGGGAAATTTCACTTAGTCTCTGTGACACAAAAGAAAAATAATATTTAGAAAGTATCTCAATGGAAGCAATGAAGATCCCCAATATATATTATATAGGGAAAAGCTTACCCACATGACCAAGTTTGTAGTTTATTCTGAAACTTACCCTATATCTGCATTTATACTTTATAAGCAAAGTCTGGTTGACAGAATAGATAATGCACTAACCAATAGAAAACAAAAACAGTATTCGCTTTTGTATTGAAGACTCAATATTTTAAAAAACATTTTAAATATGTCTTTTTTCACCTTTTTTATAATTCAAGAGTACTTCATCTTCAATTATAAGTATCCATATGTGACATAATTTTTGGACAAACTCTTGTTTCTGAAATTTAAAAAAGAAGTTTGCTTCATTTCATATAATTTTGTTTTGCTTCATTTTCCTCAGTAAGAAAGCATGAAACCATAAGGTTAAACATTTCAGGTTTCTTAAAAGCTTTTAATGCCTCTATTTCCTTTCAAGGTCTCATTTTCATAGTCCATTTTAGGGATAGAGAAAATGATTATGATCATGGCAATTGTAAATGGAAAGAAACAGAAGGAAATAGAAGAAAAAAAAAGACTGTGTTAATACCTCGTAAGCAAAGTACAAGTCCCAGTTTACGTAAGTAGGATTTTTATGAAATATTCCTGCAATGCCAACCATGCCAGGCAAAAGTACCTAGAGGGTAGCCAGTAGAGGGTATATAGGGACCAGGGGCATATTTCTTTGCTAGGAGATCCACCATGAGTTATGCCTGTCACTTCTGTTACTGGTTTCAAGGGGAACCTTGGCACAGAGCTGGCCCTAGAGATGGTATTGTGGTGGCGACATAATAAACACCGTGGCTCGTAGGTTCAATAACTCAAGTGGGATCTAACTGGGTGACTATGCCCATGGCATTCTTTTTTCCTGACCAGTTAATCTGTCCCTGTAGGGTTGGAGGAGAAGGACATTGAGGATGAGTTCATGGAAAAAGTTCAGAGAGGCTTAAAGAGCAGCGGGGCCAAGCAGCACTGCAGCCCAGGGAGGAAAACTTCCCCAGCTGTCTGCTTGGACACCACACTCTAATTTTAAAGCAGAAAGATAAGCCTTGGCAAGTTATGTGCCTTCCCCAAATAAATTTATTTCAAAGTTCTAGCCTCATTTGTACAAAAAGAGACAAAAAACACTTATGTTCGTTATTCACTTCTATCTAATAAGGAGAAAAATTGACAAAACAAATATGGTTATTTTGATCCTCTCATACTCCCATGAATGAGTTTCTCCACATGTAATACAAATGCTCATTTTATATGGATCATGGCCATTGGTCTGTTTTACAAGTTACATGTTGTAGTAAAGTTGTAACCTTAGTTTCTAATTCTGTCCAAAGGCAACATGTTGTTTTGTTTGTTTCAATGAGATTCCTGAAAATGTTCAAACCATAAAACAAAATTTTTCTAGATGAATGGAAACTAGACCATAATGTTTTAGTGAAATGAAAATCACCACCCTATTTCCAATCACTTAAGTAGATTAGGTAACAAGTTAAAGAGCCTACCATTTTGTAGGACTGTTAACATCTGTTAACAAATCTTATTTTCACCTTTACTCTCATGCATCAATTTTGAACCTCTAAAAGCACAGGCCATGGTACTTGCTACAGTTGAGATGGTATAATTCTTTCATCTAGGTTAGCAATACAGACAGTATGTTAATCTCTGGGAAACTCATTCAGCAGAAATTAATTCAACAAAAATGTATTGAACACTTACGTGCTCAGCACTTTATGTTCCACACCGAACTCTGCCCTATTCCTCCCACATGCAACACTTTTAGTCTTCATTTCTTTGATCATAACAATCTCTCTGCCCACATTATTCTCCCCCCATTACTTAACTACTTGTATCTCTGTTAAAATTTTACCTATCCTTCAAGGCACGGTTCAAATGCTTCCTCCTCTGGAAATGATTTCCTATTCCTTTCAGTGAACAATGACTTCACCCTTTTTAATGTTCCATACAACCTTATTGGTACCCAGGAACAGTTATGTAATTTGTGGTTTCCATTACAAAATGAAGATGAAATGCCCCTTGTTCAAAATGTAGTAAGAATTTCCATCTCATGCCAGGTAGAATGGCAATCATTAAAAAGTCAGGAAACAACAGATGCTGGAGAGGATGTGGAGGAATAAAAACGTTTTTACACTGTTGTGGGAGTGTAAATTAATTCAGCCATTGTGGAAGACAGCGTGGTGATTCCTCAAGGATCCAGAACCAGAAATACCATTTCACCCAGCAATCCCATTACTGGGTATATACCCAAAGGATTATAAATCATTCTACTATAAAAACACATACACACGTATGTTTATTGATGCACTGTTCACAAAAGCAAAGACCTGGAACCAACCCAAATAACCATCAATGATAGACTGGATAAAGAAAATGTGGCACATATACAAATGGAGTACTAAGCAGCCATATAAAAGGATGAGTTCATGTCCTTTGCAGGGACATGGATGAAGCTGGAAACCATCATTCTCAGCAAACTAACACAGGAACAGAAAACCAAATACTGCATGTTCTCACTCATAAGTGGGAGTTGAACAATGAGAACACATGGACACAGGAAGGGGAACATCACAAACCAGGGCCTTATGGGGCATGGGGGTTAAGCTAGGGGAGGGATAGCATTAGGAGAAATACCTAATGTAGATGACAGGTTGATGGGTGCAGCAAACCACCATGGCACATGCATACCCATGTAACAAACCTGCAGCTTCTGCACATGTATTCCAGAACTTAAATAATAATAGGAAGAAGAATCTCCAGACAGCAACAGCAGGGCATTAAACCATATGTAGGCCCTTCTAAGCATAGGGCCCTGTGAAACTGCATACATCATATGCTCATGAAGCCAGCCCTGTCTACACCTCCTCAATATACTAATTGCTGTTAATCTTATTAATGCATGAGCTATTTTTACACATGGGTTGACTTTTCTCTTTGAATATAGTGTTGTCTCCTTGAGAACAGTGTCTGTATATATTCCGCAGTAGCAAAGACAGTCTTATAAAAATGTCAGAAATTCTAAACTCTTGCTACTAAGATATAGTCCATGTACTGATTTCACCTGGGAATTTATTAGAAATGTAAAATCTCAAACAGCACCCTAGACCAACTGAATCAAATCCACTTTTCACAAGATCTGCATGTAATCTATATACACATTCAAGTTTGCAAAGCACCATTAAACGATAAATGAATAGCCTCTAAAACAAAAGATACCATTAGGTGGGAAATTTGTCTGTTAGGGGAATTATGTATTATTCCATCAAACACTAATGGTGTTTGCTGCTTTTCTAGACAAGAGGGAAGTATCAGATTAAGACGTTTTATCCCTCTTTTCAATTTCAATTCAATCCTTCCCAATTTTTCTTTCGTTTGGGAAAAGGGTTACTTGTCTCACTGATAATGTATAGAAGAGCCATGTAGCTTGCTGGATCGATTTTACCAGAAAACACACCATATAAAAGATAAGTATGGAAATACAGATCTGTAAATTCCTCTCACTTGCTCTCTCTCTCTCCTCTATTTCTCTTTTCTCTGAACTCTGATTTGTGTATTGTTGCATATTGCTAGTGAATGGCCAAATAATTCTATCAGTGTAACATAAGTCAAAGAAGCAAAACTGGCATATGGATTAACATCACTCGGAAAACTCAAAAGCTGTCATAGCTATTATAATGTTCTGCCTTTAATTCTGTCATTGGTTCCTATTTGAACTTTCCACATTAAGACTGTTTCTGAGCAGCTAACAAAGTGGTTATCTGGCAAGGTGGATTATTTTGGAAAATTCTTGAAAAATTCCAATTCTCCATTTCAAATATATGGGAATGTGCAACTAGATTACTCTCTCATAATGGCAACCCTGTGATTTGAGATTTAAAGGAAAGATAAATAATTAGAAAATGGGATATATTATCAACTTCACCATATTAAAATTATACTAAATAATTTAAATTCACCAATTTAGGAAAAAGTCCAGTCAATAAAGAGGTATTGCAATAATGCCAATAAGGAATCATGATTTTATTTTTACTGCTGCTGCTTTCTTACTTGCTCCCAAGATGGTTTATTTTAACAAGTTTAGATCTTAGGGCTCTGAATTCCAAAAATATATAATCAAATTTAGATTCTCAGGTACATAATCAAAGTTTAGAAGCCTAATACACCTGGACTTTAAGACAATTCTCCAAACCATTAAAAATACTTAACTCTAAAAGCGAACATATGTAAGTGACCGTAGTTGAGCACTGAAGTCCTGTAGGAAAGCTTTTAGCAACTCTACCTAGATAGGCTTCAATTCTTCAGTCCTCGTTTTATTTATTTGTATTTACGGAAGTGAGGTTTCTTTGAAATTACTTGAGAATCTGTTTGTGTTTTAAAGGCAATAATTGCAGGTGATACAATGGTGAGTTCAGCTGTTCAAGCTCCAAAACACCACATAGAAAGGCATAGAGAAAGACTAACGATAAAACGGGAAAGGCCTGAAACACTATGTTGAGTTTGATTATCAGTTATAACTTTATTCAAGGCCTTCCTGGTGATAGTAGCTGATGGTAAATACAGAAGAAATTGAAGTAAGCTAAATTTCTCTTCTTGTTGCTAATTGGTGGTAGAAGGTGACAACGGTTTTAAAACAGAGCCTCTGATTCCATTTTATAATCACTGATCCTGATTCTACTCTTATGTATTAGTTACTTATTGCTGTGTAACAAACTACTCAAAAACTTAGCACTTAAAACACCATCCATTTATTACCTCACATGTTCAAGGATCGTGGTGTAGCTTCTCTAAGTGCCATGCCTCAAACTCTTTCATGAGTTTGCAGTCAACCTATAAACCAGAGCTGCAAGTTAACATGAAGACCTGGCTGGGGAATGATCTGATTCTAATCTTACTCATGTGAACCTCACCAGGGGACTGTTTCATGACATACAAGCAGTCTAAGACAGAGCAACAGCAGTCCTCCAAGGGAAGCCAGTATCTTTCTATAATCTAATCTCAGAAGTGACATAACACCAGTTCTGTAGTTTTCTATTTATTAGAAGTGAGTCACTAAATCCACACTCAAATGGAAAGGTTCCTCAAAGGCATAAATACCAGTGGATGGAATCACTGGAGGCCATCCTAAAAGCTGCTCATTATACCCTTCCACTTAAAAGAAAACATGTGTAAGAAAAACATAAGTAACTTCTTCTATTTTAATCTTCTGCCAACATTTTCTAATGCATTTGACTTAATCAGTCCAAAGAAATGTATCTGCAGTTCTCCCATCTAATTCAAGGAATATGACATGCTCTGTTTGACACATTTTTTGTTTCATGAATGAACTATACTCTTCACATTGTGAGAAATATGGAGAAAAGTTTAAAATGTGTTAATCGGAATTCTTTTATTTGCAAGTGATGATAACCCTATACATATAAATAAAAATAAAACAAATTGAATGCCTAAAAAGTACAGAGCTGTGTTTACCTTTAGGTATGGCAGGACGTAGGAATTCAGCCACTTTTACCCTCTCTCTCTCATTCCTTCTCTGTTTTCTGTGTTTTTTTTTTTTTCCATTTTGAATTCTTTCTCAAACAAATACTGTGTGAGTAGAGAGTCCTGACATTTCTAGATTCACATTTACAGCCAACATTTTTATTAGACAGCAAGTTATTTTTTTAATTTCAAAAATTCCAACTGACATCCTAGAATTGTCTTTATTATTGTCATTGCCTAAATTACATACTTATTTTAACTAAGGAAAGGGCATGTAAAGAATATGCAAAGGGCCAGGCCTGGGTAATATGTCTATCCTATAGGTTGAGACGTAGAAATAGTTTCACTCAAAGGACATGTACTGAGTGTTAACAAGAAATTAATCCTAAAAAAACTAGGTGATAAAAGTTATAAAACTGGTTCAGCAAAAACTATGCTATCTACTAGAAATATTTATTCAATGATTACAATATACCAGACAAATGTTGATATTAGGTACAATTCTACTACAGATTGAGTATTCCATTTTTGACATGATTTGGATCAGAAGTGTTTCAGATTGTAGATTTTTTTATATTGAAATATATATATATACACACACACACACACACATATATAATAATAAACCATATATATGTACATATATAAAATAATATATATAATAAATTATATATGTATGTATGTATATTTTGGGGATGGCACCCAGAAGGTAATTTTATGTAATATTTTTAATAATTTCATGCATGAAACAAAGTTTCTGTACATTGAACCATTAGAAAGCAAAGCTGTAACTATTTCATGTTCAATGTTCAAAAAATTTCATATTTGGAATATTTCCTATTTTAGATTTTTGGATTAGGAATGTTCAATCTGCACCCAATTGTGTAGGTATATTAGTTCATTCACATGCTGCTAATAAAGACATACCAAAGATTGGGTAATATATAAAGAAAAGAAATGTATTTCACACACAGTTCAGCATGGCTGGGGAAGACAAGAAACTTGCAATCATGGTGGAAGGGAGAACAAACATGTCCTTGTGAACATGGCCAAGGAGATGTGCAGAGTGAAGAGGGAGAAAAGCCCCTTATAAAACCATCAGCTCTCCTGAAAACACACTCACTATCACAAGAACAG